GACTATAATGTAGTAGTACAAAACATTTTGCATTTCCCATTCATTTATTATTAGATAATGGAATTCCAACAGACACAACATCAATTGCCACGAACGATGGCTTAATTGCTATTTAATGGAAACAATAAAACTAAAGGTGAAAAAAGATTTTCCGTTAAAACAACAAATTCCGTTAGATTTTCCATTAAAACAAGAATTTCTATTTCATATGCACTTTTATATATAGAAGATATTGTAACTTGGATCTTGTAACTTGCCATTCACTTTATGGCAATTACTACAGGAGTTTCAGAAAATGAAAAGTCAGTTGAAAAATAAAAATGTAGCAAAACGTGAACACTCCTAAGGGGCCAATAATTCGTGTACTCATGTCGTGCCCGCACACAAGTTCAAGGCATGAAGCCCACTTCGATCCATGATTACCACAGGAGTTTCAGAAAATGAAAAATCAGTTGAAAAATAAAAATGTGGACACTCCTAAGGGGCCAATAATTCGTGTATGTAGGTAACGCCCGCACACAAATTCAAGGGCCGAAGCCCACTTCGGTCCATGATTTGTACCCCTCCAGCGCGCGCACGTGGAGAGAGCCTTTATGGTACACATAATTACACTATTTTAAAGTTTAATCCTTTATAAAGTGGTTTTAGTTTTCTTCAACTTCCTATGTGGGACAAGCATACTTTTTAGTTTCCCACCAACATTAACTTTTTCTAAGTGGCACACTTTGAGTTTCAATTTCTCATCCACCCGAGTATCAATTTTGGCAAGTAAATATATGATTTCAATGTACACACGGAGGAAAACACAAATCAACCTTGATTTTCCAAAATAGTCAAATGGGTCCCACACAAAAATCATACCAAAATCAGCTATATACATTTTTTCCAACAATTATTGTTCAAGTATTGAAATTTTGATAGAAAAGCAAAGATATGTCTTTTGGGGATTTCATTCGAAAACAAACAACGAATTCGTATTATAAAATGTCGTTGTGAATAAGCAATGCAATGAAATGAAGAATACAATCAATCCAATCTGTGCTACATGAAAAATGAATATCAAAAGAAGCGAGATTGGGCTATTTTTTTCCTTCTCAGGTACAAAATAGCAAGATGAGCAAGTAAAATCAGTCTGCTGGTGACTTGA